AGGACACTAGGAATTAGAGAATGTGAGTTATTTCTCCAGTGATTGCCCACCCAGTTAAGAAGTGGTAAAGTGATAACTGAATCCCGGTCTAACTCTAGAGCATCAGTAAGGTTTTGGGTTTTGTTCTTTCTAACTATAATAGCAATACATCCTTATGGTAAAAAACAATGAAAGTACAGTTGAGGCATGTGGTACAGCAAGTAAAAATATTCTGTGGTCTCACTTCCAGAGATGATCATTGTTAACCTTTAAAATTTTTTAATAACACACTGATATATATTGTTTTATAGAAATGGAATAACTAATTTTTCTGTACTTTAAAGACTTGATCATATGTCTTGGTGCTTATACGGAAAAGTATTTCTTAGCTTCCTGGATATTGATCAGGGATAGATGTATTTTGCACACGGTATTTGTGTCACTTTTAGTGATATAAATCTGGAACGTGATACTGCTTGTCCAAGGAAGGATAGGTGTCTTAAAATTATCAATAGATGCTGTAAAATTACTCTCCAAAAAGATGGAACTGATTAATTCCCTGCTAGAGTATGGACTGTAATGGTTTTAATGATTTTAATCCAGTTCCAAGCATATTGTTAGGTATATAGTAATTCTTCAAAATGTTAAATTAATAAGCATTGTATAAAGAGTCTGAGAATAGTATTGCAGAGACTGGATAAATCTTTAAAAATTTGACAATTAGTAGGTGAAAGAAATCTCATTGTTTAATTTGCTGGCGTCTTTTTTGGGGGGTGGGGGGTGGGGGTGGGGGTGGTTTTTGTTTGTTTTGGCTATGCAATGCAACTTGGGAGATATCAGTTCCCTGACCAGGGTTTGAACCTGGGCCATGGCTGTGAAGGCCCTAATTTGCCATTTTTAATAATGAAGATAAACATCTGCTATGTTTTAAGTAGAGTCCATTTTAAGTTATTTTTGAATAACTTAATGTCAGTCTCTATGGAGATGTCAGCTCCGGGAGTTGGTGATGGACAGGGAAACCTGGTGTGCTGCAGTCCATTGGGTTGCAAAAAGTCAGATATGACTGAGCAACTGAACTGAATGTCAGTCTTTATCCAGAGCACTTCATGTATGTATTACCAGAGCACTTGGTAATCTAATTTAATCCTTAGTAAATCAGTAGGTGATATTATCCCCATTTTTACAGAAGAGAAAACTGAGGCTTGTTTAAAAGGCTTGTTCAAAGTTATGGCTGATATGCATCAGGGTCAGTACTTGAACCCGGGGTCAGCCTGCCGTTACAAACCATGCAGGCTTAACACTAAGCTATATTGGTCCAGTGTCCTGTATTTTATTTTCTGTAAATTTTGGGTAGGAAAGAGTTGCATAGAGAAAATAAAATCCTATGAATACCTGTGTGTGCTCAGTCATGTCTGACTTTTTGCAACCAGAGGGACTGTAGCTTGCCTGGCTCCTCTGTCCTTGAGTTTTCCCAGGTAAGAATACTGGAATGGATTGCCATCTTCTCCAGGAGATCTTCCTGACCTAGGGATCGAACCCAAGTCTCTTGCATCGGCAGGTAGATTCTTTACCGCTGTACCACCTGGGAAGCCCACAGATACCTTTAGGAGACTGCCTTTGAGGAGACAGTGCACATCGCTTTAAATGAACAACTCAAACTGCACTCGCCGCGTTAACATTGCTTGAGATGGGCTGCAGGGTGTGGGCTGGTTCCAGTTCAGACACACACTCATCAGGCTTCAGTGTTCCTGTACTCCCAGTCCATTTTCTTCGGAAATCAACAGCACCGTCCACTCTTAAAATCATTATACATTGTGTGTACTTTTAGATTTCTTTCTTTTTAGGTAATTAGTATGGCGTACATGATAGAATTTGTTTCTGTCTTTAGTGAAACACACCTTTTTGAATTTCTGTAGTCTGGGTGCTTTTCTGTGGCTAGGCTCCTCTCGTTTCCTCCGTGAGACACTAATTTTTATTTGGCACAGCCACAGAGCTACTGATTGGTTTCATTTCTATTCACCTGTATCTTACAAATCAATTGTTGCTTGAAATGCAGTTTTCAGGAGTGTTAGTCTGTTTAAGCTTTCTCTAGAAAACCGAGGTAGAAAGTTGAGTAACAGGAAAGCATATGTTGAAAACCGTCTTGATTTCTATGGTCTGGCTGTTTGGTCACACTGCAGTTGTCTGGAATCCTGAATGATGAAGTTTATGCCCCGTGACTCGTAATACCTTGAGAGCCACAGTGCTTTGGGTTTCTGTCTGATTTCTGTTTTTCAAAAATGAAACTCTTCCAAAAAAAAAAAAGTAACTCTTTAATTTTCTTTGACCTGCATAATTATCCTTCAGCTTCTCATCATTGGTACCTAGTCCCAACAATCAGACCTGGAGACCAGTGAAAATAAAGGGTCAGGTCAGGGTATGGAAAATGTTGATAGGCGTGTAGCAGAGATTTTTTTTTGGAGAAGCTGTAAAAAAAACTTTTTAAAATAGTATACACTGGAAAGTAGGCAGAAAAAGGAGAAAGTTGTTAATGCCGGGAAAACGGAAAGATTGTACCAGAAAGGAAGACTGGTTATCATACGTTATTTAAATCACTAGTGAACAATATTTCCTAGTGTAATAGTATGAAAAAGCGTTAGTTGCTCAGTCGTGTCCGACTCTTTGCCACCCTGTGGATTGTAGCCTGCCAGGCTCCTCTGTTCATGGGATTCTCCAGGCAAGAATACTCGAGTGGGTTGCCAGCTGCTTAAACCAAAATGTGTGGCATTATAGGGATGGGCTGTTTAGTCGCTCAGTCGTGTCTGACTCTCTGCGACCCCGTGAACTGAAGCCCACTAGGCTCCTCTGTCTGTGGGATTCTCTCGGCCAGAATACTAGAGTGGGTTGCCGTTTCCTACTCAAGGGGATCCTCCTGACCCAGGGATGGAACCCGTCTCCTACTCGGCACAAATTCTTTACCACTGAACCACCTGGGAAGCCATAGGGATGGGGCAAGGTGAAATTGGCAGGGGTGAAACAGCTGAGTCCTTGTCTTTTAGGTGACAGGTGATGGCTGGAAAAAACTAAGAAACAGCAGCAGAAGCATATTATTTAGAAATATTGTTAGTAAACTTAAAGAGAAAGCTATAACCAAAATTGAGGGTGATTGCTTTTGGTTGTTGGGTAGGTAACTTGTTTTTTATAAGCCTTTTATTTACCCTGAGTTTTAAAATTACGTATATGGATTCATTTCATAAAAAGGTAACTATGGTGAGTGTAAGTAAAGGCTGTTTAAGGACACACAAATACTCTGAGACTAGTGTTCATTTATATATATATATATATTTGCTGGGACTCTTTCTTTGCTTTCCCCTCTTAGAGCCAGCATAGCATACTATATCCTAGGTATGGCCTGACAGAATGAATAAACATGGGTTTAGTTTATTAGTTTACCTGTAGTGGAATGTTTGGCCTTCAGAATTCGACTGAAGGACTTTTGTTGCCTGTTGAGTCTTTCCTCCTTGGTAACACTTATTTCCCTGTAATCTTAATATTCCCAGCTGGTTTACACCTCAGTCCTTTTGCAGCTATACTTGATTAATGCCCCAATTGTTAACTTTAGAACAAAAGAATGATAATCACTCATGCCCCTCAAATGAGTCCTCTGCTGGATGGTAATTATCCACCGAAGGGTGTCACTATAAATAATCTGTCCCCATTCTGCCAGGGTCATTGTTGTTTTCTGCTTTTATTTAGCCTGTATGAAAACAGTGACTGGCCAAACAAGAATGGGGCTTCGTTTTCCTTTAGTTGTGCAAAGGCCAAGGTTGTGTTTCAAATTCAGGGCTCCAAACTCTTCACTCCTCTGCAGTGATTGTACTGCCCAGGTTCCTTCCCCATCACCTGGACATGACCCAAGGGTTATTACAGTCTTTGCCTGCAAGATTCAGTTTGGATCAGTTTAGTACTCCCCTGGCTCCGAGAAAAGCAGCTGTTCTCAGGGTAACTGTGTGAGGCTTCTGTTTGGCCTTTTGGCACCATTTCCTAGGCAAGATATCTGGCAGTTCAGATTCTGAAAAAGGGATTGCTTTCAAGTGTATCAGGACGTAACTGTGCTCCTTAGGCTAGTTAGGAATGAGTCGGAGGCTGCCTCTGGAATGCTGAGCCTTGGACGGCTGTTTCAAGGGCTGTTGGGGCCCCTGAAGTCTTGGGGGGTCTTGGTAGGGAAGCCCTGTGTAGGAGTCTGTCTCCGCCCTCCAGAGATTCTGAGCTTCGTCTCCTTTCTCTGGTCACCTGAGCTTGCCCATCACGGATGGCGAGTGGAGAGCAGCCAACTGAATAAAAAGTAGTTCGCAGGGTCGTGCTCCCACTTTCTAGGGGAGACGGAGGTTTAGTTTCAGAGAACAGTTAAAGCAGCCCGGGACCAAACCCACATTGCTGCCTTTTGACTGTGGAGAAGGGGACCCAGCTTTTTCAAAAAACCAGATCGGTTGGTAGGAGAAAGGAGGGAAGGAGCCTGTATCACTGAGAAGAGTAGGGGGCCATCCCCTGGGGCAGGCGTTTCTTTCGGTGGACTGCATTTCGTGCGCGGAGAGCAGCGTGAGGGTCGAGGGAGAAAAGGCGGAGACCACCGGGACTCCAGCCGGTTCCTGCACACCCAGCGGGAGGAAAGAGGAAGTGTGATCGGGAAGGGCCCGAGCCGTCGCCGCCATTGGCCGGCAGGCCTGTCAGTCGCCTGGGGGCTGAGGCTGAAAAGAGGAAGAAGGAGCTTGGGGCTCCTGCCTGGAAGGGAGGGCGGAGGGCTGAGCCAGGGGGCGTGGGGGCTGGGACGGCAGGCCAACGGGCAGGGCGGGGCTGCCTTCGATCGGGCCACTTCTCTCATTCTGCACTCTCCTGATTCAGGGTGGCATTGTGTGTCCCGGCGTGCGGGAGCCAGTCCCCGAAGAGAGGCGAGGCTGAGCCCAGAGCGCTGGGTCGCTTCAGCAGGGAAGACTCCCTTCCCCCCCCCGCTCCAGGCTGCTGAGCCCTGAGCCCCGCTCAGAATGGAAGCCATCGCCAAATATGACTTCAAAGCCACCGCAGACGACGAGCTGAGCTTCAAAAGGGGGGACATCCTCAAGGTGAGTGCTGACGCCCAGCAGCCGTCCCTGTGCTCACCTGCCTTCTTTGGCCCTGATAACACAAAGAAGCTGTGCTTGCCCTCGTTTCATCGCCCACTTTAACGTTCCCATCCCGGGCGATCTGGGAAGCTGGTCACCTGGTGGAATATCAGATATGACTTAAGATGGTTGGGGTGATGTTAACTGCCTTTGTGTGAATGCCTCAAGTATTTATACTTGCTTGTTGATATTGGTAGTTCATGTAGAGTTGTTTTTTTTTTTTAAGAAGGATTTGTGAAAAGCACTCAATTAGTCTTATTTTACTTACTCAAAAGATTTTTGCATTCTGGAATGTGATCCTAGTAGGTTAGAAATGAATTTACCCTAGTTTAGAAGGGTGGTTGGAAATACATGGCAAAACTTACTAAAGAACCTCAGTGTACTCAAAAAAGAAAAAAAGAACCTCAGTGTATTCTTTCTCTCTGTGAAACAGCTACTGGAGTTCTAAATAACAAGGTTCAACTTGCTGTTGTACAAGTCAGATTTCCATTTTCTTGAAAGAAACTTGAGCAATGACTCCATATTAGACTCTTAATTGCACGAAAGAAACCTGCCGACAGTTTAAAAATAAGCTTCTTTACAGTTTGCAGCTCATTTTGAGCCCCACTATTTACATGAGATTCGCCTTCCACCTGGCCCGTGTTAATTAGGGTAGCGGGACTATAGCAGCTTGCCCTTTTTGATACTTTTACACAGGTGGGTGTTATCGAATAGTGCATCAACCCTGGGAAAAACCTGAAGTTTAACATTTGAGTCTTCACTGTGTCTCCAGTTTTGACTTTTTCCCGCTGAACCTCAATCACATAGTTGGAATTTGCCAACCAGTTGTTTATTACCATTGAATGAAATTATTAGCATTTTATAAAGAAGAAAGTGGGAATATAGAAATGTGATTCTTTATCAAAGGACTAGTGACATGTTTTTAAGTTTTGTGGACCTGAGGAGAGTTATTCTTTCGCTCTAACTACCAGAGGCATAGAGTTCTGCTCTGAAGTTACCTGCACAGTAGTTTTTCCTCACGTTAGAAATGTAGGTTTTACTTCATAGAAGGTGATAAAGAGCCTGTAAGAAGGAAACTGCACATGTTCTTTTCAGCTGTTTCTGCGATACCAAGCTTTTTGAGAGTATTCTCAAAGTAAGCACAAAATTGTCAGAAAGCAGACAAAACCAGCTGGGTGAAATACTATACGTCGTCTCTTTCTGTTTTTTTAGGTAGAAATCACCAAACTTAGACCCTAAATTATTCTATCATTAATGTACAGAGGAGATTGATGTTTTCCTAGGTGATTATATTTTCAGTAGATAACCTTCTCCTGATACCGTAAGATTGACTCTTCAAAGAGGAAGAAGAAAGACAAGTAGCCACATTTGTCACTTGTACAAAATTGCTTTGGGGTCAAGCTTCTGGGTTTTGTTTGTTTCCTTAAATACAAATTAGAATTTTTTGTTAAGCTTACCCTAGAAACTTGAAACTTGCACCTAGAAGTTCATTTTTTTTCTTTAAGTCTATCCAGCTGCACATTTAGCACTGAAGCAACAGATCAAAACAAAACTGAGCTTGAGGTCTGTTTAGAGAATTTTTAGGTGAGAAGTTTCCCTGTTGTACTACCACTGAAGTTAGTCTTGGATCACGAGCATTTTGTAAGTTCTCTATCTTAAATCAGTAAACTTGTAGTTCAGTCACTAAAGTTGTGTGTGACTCTTTGCGACCCCATGGACTGCAACACGCCAGGCTTCCTTGTCTTCAGTATCTCCTGGAGTTTGCTCAAACTCATGTCCATTCAGTCGGTGATGCCATCTAATTATATCATCCTCTGTTGCCTCCTCCTCCTTTTGCCTTCAGTCTTTCCCAGCATCAGGGTCTTTTCCAGTCAGTCAGCTCTTCACATCAGGTGGCCAGAGTATTGGAGCTTCAGTGAATCAGTCCTTCCAGTGAGTATTCAGGGTTGATTTCCTTTAGGATCGATTGGTTTGCTCTCTTTGCTGTCCAGTGACACTTGTTCAGACTTCTTGAACAAGTGTAATATCCTTTCCCATCCCACAATGAGGATGATACTGTAATTTTTTAATGAAATTTTTATGATGGAAGAGAAAGTGAATCAGAGTGCTCACATTTACTTTCAGAGTGTCTGGGGAGAGAGAGAATACATATGTTTGGTTCTTTCCAGTTTGGCAGATAACTGGCATATGAAGTCATAATGCCATTATTGCTTTTGAGTGGTAGCCGTTAGCTGTTCGTTAGTAATCTTGTGGCTTTACTCCAAAAAAAAGTGATGATACAGTAGTTGCCCTTTGTCTCATAATTCTGTGAAACAGCTGAGTGAAGAGAAGGGACACTGCTTTGTCTTAAATGCTGTTATTTAAAAAATAATTTTTTTTTCTTATGATTATTCAGGGAGTAACTGGCTTCATTTGGGTGCCTGTGATTTGTTTTGCTAACTCTTTAGGTTGTTAGTTGTGAGCCAAATTATGGTTAGAAGTGGCTGGAAAGCATTGGCCAGATTCCCTCAATTGAAATAAGCATGTATTTTCTCTCTGTTGATAAGAGGGACACATACATATGGGCATTGAATACATTTTATTTGAAAATAATGAAATAGAGGCTCCGCCCTCTGCCTCTGGCTAGAGTTTCTGGTTAACTTTTGGTGGATGTTGATGCCTGTCCTCCAGCACACCACTTCCTTAATTTCTATCTGACTTGTACTGCCCTGAGAAAAGAGAACAAGTTAAAACAGCTTTTTGGAAGCCTTAAGTAAGGCTTCAATATATCTGCCTTTGTTAATTTCCCTCTTAAAAAAAGCTTAATGTTTTTCTTGAGGAGGGCCAGGGAGGGCACTGGGACATAGGGAATGGAGGAAACTGCTCTTCTGCAGTTTCAGGCCTTGCGTGGCTGAAAGGAACGTAAATTTCGCCCCCATTGAAGGGCAGCCTTGAGATAGCCCCAGGGGTTCTCCACTGAGGCCCTGAACCCTCTGCGCTAGAGTACACAGAATGCTGAGCTTATCTGAAGTTGCATCTGCCTTCTAGAGGCTTTTTTGTACCTCTGCTTCAGATAGGAATTAAGAGACTGTTTTGAGCTCTCAAACCTGGGCTCATTGCATTCTTGAGCTGGATCCTCATTTTCTGTTGAGACAGACCTTTGACTCTTGAAGAATACCAGCAGTAGATCATCTCATGATCTTCTCTGTCTGGCACGAACCTCCTTTCCAGGTTTCTAAACTGCTTTCAGACTCCGTCTTGGAGTTCAGTGCTGGCGGTCCTGTTGCACGCTTACATGGCGTCTCCATGAGCCACGTTCTGGGGTCCGTGGCCTTGAGAGTTGGGGGAGAAATAGATGTACTTTGTCCCTTCAGGAACTCTAAAATAAGAGAAATAAGGTAAGTATGTGAAACAGTATGCAAGAGTGTGTAAAATTAGAGGATCTTCAGAACAGGAAGAGACTTGCGTATTTTACAGGTGAGGAAATGGTGGCCATGGAGGTTAATGGGTCACAGCTGGTGGTGCCGGTCTGGGGTTTGAGAGAATTCTGAAGTTGGGTCACACACTTGAACTGCCAGTGTAACTTAGAGGAGAGAGCTGCTTGGAGGAGGCATGACTTGCACTGGTCCCTGTGTTGAGCAGGGGGAGGGGGAGCAGGACTGGTCTTGTGTTTGAGACAGGAATGTTAGAATAAGGTGACAGTCTGTGACAGAATGGAAAATAAGATAGAATTGGAGCCAAGCAAGAAAAACTCAGTAAGAGTTTGATCTTGTCCTTAAGCCTCTGAAGGTTATTAGCTGATGATGAAAGTATCTTCTGTGTAAATGTAATGATTTCTAGGAGGGGAACCTGGAGTCCCAGCCTGGCGGGTCACAGTTATCAGGCTGTGAGATACAGGCCTGCACAGGTCCTGGAGACTAGGAGTGAAGGACAGGGGTGCTTTGAGGAAAAGGAAATATAATGAGATTATATAATGGGATTTCTACCTGTCACCGGGGGTGGGGGCGGGGGGGGGCGGAATTTGAATGCATCGCCTGTGTAACTCAGAAAAGAATATCCATTGAGTATGCTTCTGAGAACCAGGGATATGAACTACAGTTTGATTAATTACAGTTTTCACGACAGCTCGTAAGTCCTGAATTTGAGTACACAAGTCTCATTTCAGGTGTTTGAACATCATACCTAAAAAATAAGATAGGGTAGTTTTTTTTCCTTGAGTGTTTCAAAATGTGAGTATTGGTATAGTTTTTGAAGTATTTCTTTGCCTATTGATAAGAATTGTTACCCATCTTGTTAACTAAACTGAAAATGTTGCGTTTAACCCTTAAGAATGAGGACAGTTTGAGTTCTCTTACAACAGTTTGTTTGCCTTTCATTGTATGTATTTCACCCTCTGCCATCTGAATGGACTATTTCTAAATAGGTGCTAAGAATGAACTTTCAGTTCCTATGCAGTGTTCCTTTTTGAGGGGACCGGGGCCCGGGGAGGTGGAGGAACTGGCTGAAGACCAGTCATCCCTGTTTGGAGAAAGAAATGTCTAAGGAAATGCACTGTTCCTTTGGGGTCTTCAGTCTTTTTTTTTTTTTTTTTTTTTAATTTTTTTCATTTATTTTTATTAGTTGGAGGCTAATTACTTTACATCATTGCAGTGGTTTTTGTCATACATTGAAATGAATTAGCCATGGATTTACATGTATTCCCCATCCCGGTCCCCCCTCCCACCTCCCTCTCCACCCGATCCCTCTGGGTCTTCCCAGTGCACCAGGCCCGAGCACTTGTCTCATGCACCCAACCTGGGCTGGTGATCTGTTTCACCCTAGATAATATACATGTTTCGATGCTGTTCTCTTGAAACATCCCACCCTCACCTTCTCCCAGAGTCCACAAGTCTGTTCTATACATCGGAGTCTCTTTTTCTGTTTTGCATATAGGGTTATTGTTACCATCTTTCTAAATTCCATATATATGTGTTAGTATACTG